ATGTCATGCCTTTGAAAAATAAAGAGAACAACAGAATGCGCTGCTTTAGCGCGTCTCGGTCTCCTTGAGCATCTTTCTGGCGCATGCCACAAACATGAACCACAGCGAATACTTGTCTTTTAAAAGGCTTCATTTAGATGATTTGACGTTAAATGCATCATATAAGTCACTTTGGAATAAATCACAGTAGGCCTATGTATCATGATAAAAAAAGCAACTTTACAGTCTGGAAATACTTTAGGCTATAGCTAATTATTTCTTAGACCCCCTATCACTTTAAGAACTGCTGGTCTACACAGAAGAAAGACCTGTCTAGACTCTGCCCCGGTACGAGTTGTGTCGAGCTATTCATTAGTCTGTTTGATGAGAAAAATATGAAATTGATAAAATGGGTTATTAATCCGTACAACTGCAGCAGTGGAGGACTATTATTCTGCTGCGTGATACTGCAGAAGAACTGAAGAAGGCACGGTTTGATCTTTGGCTGACCAATCAGCAGAAAGGGGTGTTTAATTCCCGCCCACATGTAGAAATCGAATATTCAAGCTGTTTATTCATTTTTCCACCCATGAACGAAAAACGAAAATTTGAGCTGAATTTTTGGAAAAAAAAAAAAAAAAAAAATGAAAAAGGAGCTGTTTTCTAATTTTTTCTACTTTTAATATTAAATCAAAAAACGAATGATCGAATGATACACGGATTGACATACACAGGAGAGATTTGTTTTTTTGTTTTGTTTTGTTTTGATTTGTTTTGTTGTTTTTTGTTTTTGTTTTGTTTTTGAACATTCATCTGAACACGTCATTTCCACCAAGTATTTATTGTGTTTAAAAACATTCTGTGATGAAAAATGACATTTCAAACATTTCTGGAATAAAACTGATGGCTCCTTTGTCTTGCTAAAGCCAATTTTATAACACTGGGGGGAAAAAAATCCACTTAAAAACTTAAGTTCAGTTGATGCTCATATAGAAGTAATATGAAAACATAAGTTGCCATGACTTACTGATATGATCTGATATGATTTTACAGTGTAGCATTTTATGCATCCTAACTGTGCACAATTAAATAATATTTTAACAAATCTTAATCTTAAAAATGATTTAGGCTTTATTTTGATATTATCTATTTATTTTCTTCCCATTTCTTCCCATTCGTCAAGTTCTTCATTAAAACTTAATTACCAAGTACACTAAATTACACTAAAACTACACTAAGCGCCAAGTACACAAAAAAAAAAAAAAAACTTGATTATACACAAAATTAGCGGTCATAATGGAAATGATGTCACAATTGTGGGACAGTCATAATTTGTGTACAGATGAATATAAATCATTTTAACTGAGTAAATACTGAAATTGTTTATGTCATTGTTTTGATTATAATGGATTTGAAAATGCAGTGAAATTTATGATGGATTTTCATATCTTAAGATAGATTAGCTGGCTCTGGGACAAGAATAAAACAATAAAGTCCACACATAAAGGCATTCGAAAACAAAAAATAAACAAATAAACATAATAATAATAATAATAATAATAATAATGACCCCCTATCACTTTAAGAACTGCTGGTCTACACAGAAGAAAGACCTGTCTAGACTCTGCCCCGGTACGAGTTGTGTCGAGCTATTCATTAGTCTGTTTGATGAGAAAAATATGAAATTGATAAAATGGGTTATTAATCCGTACAACTGCAGCAGTGGAGGACTATTATTCTGCTGCGTGATACTGCAGAAGAACTGAAGAAGGCACGGTTTGATCTTTGGCTGACCAATCAGCAGAAAGGGGTGTTTAATTCCCGCCCACATGTAGAAATCGAATATTCAAGCTGTTTATTCATTTTTCCACCCATGAACGAAAAACGAAAATTTGAGCTGAATTTTTGGAAAAAAAAAAAAAAAAAAAATGAAAAAGGAGCTGTTTTCTAATTTTTTCTACTTTTAATATTAAATCAAAAAACGAATGATCGAATGATACACGGATTGACATACACAGGAGAGATTTGTTTTTTTGTTTTGTTTTGTTTTGATTTGTTTTGTTGTTTTTTGTTTTTGTTTTGTTTTTGAACATTCATCTGAACACGTCATTTCCACCAAGTATTTATTGTGTTTAAAAACATTCTGTGATGAAAAATGACATTTCAAACATTTCTGGAATAAAACTGATGGCTCCTTTGTCTTGCTAAAGCCAATTTTATAACACTGGGGGGAAAAAAATCCACTTAAAAACTTAAGTTCAGTTGATGCTCATATAGAAGTAATATGAAAACATAAGTTGCCATGACTTACTGATATGATCTGATATGATTTTACAGTGTAGCATTTTATGCATCCTAACTGTGCACAATTAAATAATATTTTAACAAATCTTAATCTTAAAAATGATTTAGGCTTTATTTTGATATTATCTATTTATTTTCTTCCCATTTCTTCCCATTCGTCAAGTTCTTCATTAAAACTTAATTACCAAGTACACTAAATTACACTAAAACTACACTAAGCGCCAAGTACACAAAAAAAAAAAAAAAACTTGATTATACACAAAATTAGCGGTCATAATGGAAATGATGTCACAATTGTGGGACAGTCATAATTTGTGTACAGATGAATATAAATCATTTTAACTGAGTAAATACTGAAATTGTTTATGTCATTGTTTTGATTATAATGGATTTGAAAATGCAGTGAAATTTATGATGGATTTTCATATCTTAAGATAGATTAGCTGGCTCTGGGACAAGAATAAAACAATAAAGTCCACACATAAAGGCATTCGAAAACAAAAAATAAACAAATAAACATAATAATAATAATAATAATAATAATAATGGCATGATAAATAGGTTTAGTTTTATTAAAATCCAGTTTTAATGTAACTTTCATACAACCAAAAGTTAGTGTCAATAAAAATCAATCCCTTGGGCATAAAAAAGCAAAAACATCCAAACATTGCCTTGATGATGCTACATTAATAGTCCTAACAGCATCTTTCAATACTCCTTGAATACGTTTGGAAGGATCTTAATAGAACTTTAATGAATATTTTCTCTTTTCTAGCAATCGTTGTTTGTCACTTCTGTACTTCCGAATGTTCAAGCTGAAGAAAGATCATGCGATGAAGTATTCCCGCTCACTAATGGAGTATTTTAAGGTACGACCTTGCCTCTGTTTCTTTGTTTATTGCAATTAAGAAACATCACTAGAAATCTTCATATTTGTTTGAATAGCTTGTTCTCATAAATTCTGCATGCCATTATTAAATCAATTTATTCATCAATTCCAAGCGTGCATTGTCAAACTGTAAGCTAGTTATGATTAATAACATTTGCATGAGACCTAGCATGTTTGCATCTGGCAATTATGTGCTGTGTTTATAACGTACGTTTTCTTGCTCCCTCAGAATTCTGCAAAAAGTTCCCAAGCACCTTCGCCGTGGGGAGCCAATGGAAAGTACGTGCATTTTGCTCTCTTTGTCCTTTTGTATTTCTGCCAGCTTGTGAAAAGATTCCATCTTGCTTGAGATCAGCTCTCCTGAATCTTCTTCCCGCTGCCAAGTGGGAAAAAAATATATTGTGAGATATGAAACCTCAGTCATGGTTACTTGACATCAGTGAAAGGACATGGAGAGATGAATTCTGGGAAAGCAGCATCGCTTCTATGTCAGCACCATGGCAACCGAGTACCAATGGGGTGAGGCAGTGCGAGAGGCGCTGTGTTTGACTTTGTGTGTGTGTCTGATACGGCCTCTAGCTGGACACTACCCAGGCCCACTGTTCGGCTGCCAACCTGGCTGTCAAAAGCAATACATTAGCAATAAAGAACCAGCCGTACCTGCTGTAGCTTTGATCAACACATCCATCCTCAACCTCCTCCTCATCCTTTACCATCAGGAATCTTTATCAGCTTTCTTTTCACCTTGGAGGGAGTTTATTTATTTTAGCAGAGCCCTGAAACCCGCTACGAATGGGCCCGGCTGTTGACAGGGCGCAAAATTTAGCCGGCCGAGGCTTGAGTGTGTTTCAATTTATAAGTGGATTACAGGCCACTGAACCAGACTGTTTGGGGTGCAGCACTAAAGAGACCAATGAATATGTGTGCCGATAGTTGTCTGGAGGGACGACAGTGTCTGCAGGTTACTGTTGATAATGTACTGAGATACTGATTAAAGGGTTGCTGGGTGAACATAAAGAATCTCATGGCTGGTGGTAGTGGTGGTAGCTTGTGGAAAAGAAGTGCACTTAATTGGACTGAATAGGCACTTATAGTGTACTTCAAATTTTAAATGTATATTTTTTTTTAAAAACTGGACTTGCAGATAAGATAATATTAATGAAATAAAAGGCCTCTTAGGAGAGTACACTTTCTTGACTATGTTTCTTAACACACAGTGCAGTTTGAAAACTTTTTTGAAAGGTGTAATAATGTCAAATTAGAAGTTTTACTTTAACCCTTTCTCTGTCAGTGTCCCGCTGGCGCTCTTTTTCTTTTTCTGGTCTTCACAAAACACATATAAGGTTTGAGTCTCAAGGTTTGAGTCTCAAGGTTCCATATTTTGGTGGTTATTTCATGATATACTGTAAGTAATATTGTGGCAGAAATGTATACGTTTGTGACAGGAAAATGCATTTTAAAAATTCAGTGGAGTTTGGGGGTCAACTGGTTGCTATTTTTGATATAGCATCTAAAATAAATCTCACAGGAACCTACATTTTTGTAATATCAACTTCAAATTTGGAACATAACTTATTTAGACATATGGCTTTGATTTTATATCAATTTTAGATTCCAAACTATTTTGTAATATATATATATATATATATATATATATATATATATACAGTACGTTTTACAGTAAACTTAAAGTACATTATAAATAATTAGATAAAATATTTTTTTTGTGTGCTTTAAAGAAGTACGCTTATTTTGATGTGTTGACCAACATACTAAAGCACATGTAAAGTACTTGATTATAATGTTATCTGATATTATATTGAAAGTTTTTGACATTTTTTAATTGAAATGTACTAAACCGCAGATGCATCATTACGAATGTGCCGTTTCAAATAAATGACATGCACGTTTTAATAGAAATTACATTTATTTTACCATAAATGCTTAACAGTATATTCGGCAGTACAACTATATTAAAACACAATAGAATTATGAAAATTACGCTAAACCAAACCCTAATCCTTACTCTAACCCTGTATTAAGTGCATATCGTTAATTAATATTACTCAGTACTTAAATATATAATTACACTGTAACAAGAACACTTTAAAATAAAGTGTAACTGCATTTTCATTTAATTGTAAATAACATGTAATTAAATGTATGATAACATTCAGTTTGCACTTACTGTAAGTACATTCTTTTTCAAGTTTTTTATTTTCGTAATAAGTACCCGTTTTTCAAGTATGCTAAAGAGTACTTCTTTTACACAAGGGTAGTCATTGCAGCCAGTTAACATATGATTTATGTAAAGCTGTGTTGCACAGGATATTGAGCCAATGAGATTTCGCTGTGGGCGGGGCTACTGAGCATAACATAAAATAAACAGAAACCAAGCAACAAACAAAATGTCTTTACATGTCCCGCTTGCCACTTACATTTGATAGACAGGAATGCGCAAGATCCATTTTAAGGGTATGGAAAATGCTATGTTAGTTTGAAATGATGCGGAAATACAGCGGATCGGATTTCCAAAATTGTCATTGGTCAGTATTTCATCTTTCTCCCAACAGGAGCACAGGTACCCCGTCTCCCATGTCACTGAGTCCATCTCCTGTCAGTTCGGTCAGCAGCGGCGCTGGAGTGATGGGCTCTTCCTCTGCCTCTGGAAGTGTGGCCATTCCCCAACGCATCCACCACATGGCAGCCAGTCATGTCAACATCACCAACAACATCCTGCGCAGCTATGAACACTGGGAAACCGCTGACAAGCTGGCCCAGGAAAGTCAAGGTAGGATGGTTTTTGAGTTGTTTTTCTGGTTTTATTGTTTATTTGTTTTTCTTTAGACTGCAAGTAGACAGTATAGCTGAGCGATAAATACATATATATATATAAATATATATATATATACTGTATATATTTACAGTGATTTTGTTGGTGATATTAAGCAACACTTTTATTTTAAATTTTATTTGGCCATGAAGTTTCCTAAAGACTGTCCATTTCAATGAATTGGTTCAAAGCTCTGTTTCAAGGATTGCAATATTTTTTAAATCAAAACTTTTTCTAATCTTGACAAAACATATTGTTGGAAAGGTTCCATATTTGGTGGTTATTTTCTGATAGAAGAACAATGTAAATAAAATGTATATATTTGTGACAGGAAAGAGCATTTAAAACATTCAGTGGAGTTTGAGTCTTACCCGGTGGCTATTTAAAAAAAAAAGGAAGCTACATTTTTGTAATATCAACTTCAAATGTGGAACCGAAATGTATTTATGTCTTTCTATATGGCTTTGACTTTATAGCAATTTTAAATCCTGAAATATTTAGTAAAATATTTATTTTTTATAGAATAAAAAATGTTCAGTACAGTACATTTTCTTTACGGTAAACTTAAAGTACATTTTACATAATTAGGTTTTAATCTTTTTTAATATTTTGTTGTGAAGAAGTACACAACATTTAATTTTCATACTGTGAATTGTTGGTGTTTATAACTGAAAATGATTCATTTTCATTCTTTATTTTCATTAAGTGACATACAATTTGGAAGACGTGCATTGGATCAAATTTGACAAGATATGTCAAATTTCTGTGTTTCTACTTCCAAACTATTATGTTTGTTTGTTTTTCTAGCAAATTTGGAGTGAAAATTGTTTCTACAACAAATGTTTCAGTCTATGCACGTTTTCTAGTGATAAGTTCTTTTTAAGCTATTCCAGAGAATACTGAGAGCAATCTGTACAATATTGTCAAAGGTTTGTATAATTTTTAGTGCACATCTGTCTTAGAGGGGCAAAATTAGTTCTTCGCCTACCGGCTTTTATATCTTGCATCATGAAACAATCATTGAAGTAAAGAATTACTTTTTCCCAAATTCTCCCAAAATCTCTCTCTTGCGGATAAATCTCATTTGTCTTCGCTGTCATACTGTATATCTCAGCGTTATATAAGAAATTCACCTCTCGCACTTGCAGCATTATCAGTGACTCAACGTTTGATACGGCCCACCAGAGAAATGAAAAAGCCACTATGTTAATTGCATTTGAGATCTGATGTGGCTTGTCATTTCCTCTCTTTCTCTCTCTGTGTCCTCTAGAGGAGACTAATTAAAACACTCTGAGACCCTGCGTGTTGTGCGAGGTCTCCCCCGCCTCAGAAATCAGCCGTAATAAACTCTCTCTCAGCTTCCCCTCCTCAGTGTCTGTCCTAGAACTGAATACTTTGGTCAGAATGATAGCGGGATTGGCTAATTATGACAGTATCAGCTCTGATGCAGGTCCTCGGGCACGTACATGACTCTGTAGTCTGTTGTTGTCATCTGTTTGCTAATTGCTGCAGTCATTAGTAGGTGGCAGTGATGTCATCAGATACCTCCGTTATCTTCATGCTAAACTTAAGAAGATTGACATTGATGTCTTTCTTTGATTTTCAGTGCCCTCAATAATTTTTTTCTTAAGATGAATTGCTATTTTTATTTATTTTGTCTGTGAATTATTATACGAATTATTATATTGTTATTTACATCTTTATTTTAGAATTATCACTCATACCCTCACAAGAAATTTCATAAGATTCATTCTTAGAATCTTAATTCTTTGTAAGAATGTTCCTAAGTGCAATTCTGAAAAAAAAGACCATTTTAAATATTTTCTTAAGAACTTCTTGCTGCAGACTCACTGATCAACTCAATGAAAAACAGATTGAAAACACTCTTTCTGCGCTACAGTACCTGCAAATGACCTTAATAATCAAAGCAATAATCATAATAATAATCATAGAGCCTCTCTCAAGCAGTGTTGATTCAGTTGCATCTTTCTTGTGCTCTATCTAGAGTGAATGCATAGTTTTTAGTAAGAGAACGGAATTTTGCAAGTGCTTTAAGACCTTCAAAATACACCAATATAGTTATTTTATTTTATTTATTCAGATATAACTTTAAATTTAGAAAAAGTTACACTGTTCATGTTCAGCAAGTAACATTTTCAGAGTAATATTTGTGTTGTTTTGTTAGAAATAAATATGTAGGTTTCATTAATTTGGGCAATTATAAGTCAAATTAATTTAATTAAATGCTATTCACTTCAATGGGGTCAATTCTACATGAGGGTAATTCTCAGATTATACTGTGTGTTCCTATTTTACCAATTATATATTCAAATAAGATTTCTCATCAGCACTGAACATACATTTCAAAGAATTTCTCAATTTTGAAATAAACAAAAAGGGAAATGCAGTAAGAACATGGTAATAACGTGGTAACATTCAAAACTTCACTAATTAATGACAAGGTGCTGATAAGATACAATATGGTTTTAGTTGAAAAATGTTGAGGTTTTTTTTAAAACAATGATTCAAACAGACCCAGAATGTGAAAATCATATAAAGAATGCATTGCAAGGTTTATTTACAATGATAACATTTACGTTAAGAACATCCTTTTTAGGAATTCGAATTCTTCCTACATTTTGTCTTCAGAACAATCTTAAAAAGATAAGAACATTTTTAAGAAATGTGTTTAGGAATACAAAATATTCTTAACTTTATTCTTAATTTTGAAAATAAAAAGAAAATAGCAGTCCCTATTTTTTTTAATAAATAGGGACAGAATTCAGTTAAGTCAATTTTCCACTTTTTAGAGCTCTCTAAAAAAAAACAATCACTGGCAAAACATGTTTTTTAATAAAATTCATGATTTGCAATTTATCGACAATTTATGAAGAACTGTATTTTCTCTGAATACATGACTAATTTTGAATGCCGTCACTGGACCCATTTTTGGGCCAAGATGTTGTAGTTAGCCTGCCAGCAAGTTGCATCTGCTTTATTGTTGGTTTTTGCTGTCAATGGCACATAAAAATGTCACTTCATGTCAAAAAGGTTAGCAACACCTGTTATACCTATGTAATTTACCGTAGTTGTATCTAAAAAATTATAATAATGATAATAATAAAAACTGTTCTTCCCATGCTGACAATTGCACTGTGTGTCTGTCTCTGTTCTGACAGAGTTCTTTCTGGAGCTGGACTCAGTAATGGAACCGTTGACGCAGCACAGCAGCATGACAGAACTGGTGCGCTACATAGGCCAAGGACTGCACTGGCTTCGGCTTGAGGCCCATTTGTTATAGTGCTGGCGCTTCCACTGTGCTCTTCCTTTCTCTCTATATCTCTCTCTCTCACTCTCTTCCTCACCGTTCATCACTACCTCCACCATCTTTGCCATCTACAACCCTCCAGAGCCCTGAGGGAAGTCAGCAGTTAACCACTAGCGAGCCTCAGAACTGTGAGTTATTCCCTGGAGGGTGCCATGTCCTCGTTCCAGCTTGATTCCTGTAAAAGTGCGTCAGGAAAGTCTCAGGATGTCATAGAAGGACAGAGCGCTGCTGCATCGCATCACAGCACTATGGGAGGCCAAATGTATGCATCTGCTACAAGAACAGGATCTGTGATGGTAGCAGTGGGCAAGTTAACAATGTTGTTGAGAAAAAAATGCAGCTAGTAACCTCTGTGATGTAGGCCAGGCAAATCGAATTCACTTTGTAAGGTAGGATGGGCCAGAAACACACTTCACGCAAGTATGCAAAGACAGGCATGAATGCATAATCAACATATTACAGGTGTGCAATACACGTGAACATTCTTACACCATGTCTTAAGTCTCGCCATGCCACAACAGCTTGAGGCTGTCTACACTGAACGTGACAAAGTGCCCGTTGCAAATCATTTAAACTTTGGGTCAATACGTCATAAATAGAATGAGGCAGCAGTTTACTGTCAGGGCTTTGTCGTGTTGCCTCATATACAGTGTAGACAGCATCACTGATTATAATGGGTTCTATAGTATTTTGTCGCGTTGCACCGCGGCCGGTGTAGACACAGTGTTAAAGTGTGCTACTTTGGCAGTAACAAACCTCGGCACATAAGGGGCGATAAAGTTCACATTAATCAGGGACATTAAGTTTTAGTCCTATATTTTAATTTATTAAAATTAGGCTTTTTTTTCATTATTAAATCAGGACAATTGTATCTCCCTGACATTTCTGACTTAATCCTCTAAAGAAAAGGCTAAATGAATTTTGATTAAAAACGTCACTTCAAGTATGATTTACATTTTTAATGTTATTTTAATGTAATTAAATGTTTTAATGTATTTTAAGAGTTAAATTCTTTAAAAGAAAACCTTAAGTGTTTTTTTTTTATGAAATTAAAACTTTTATAATTTTATTCAAGGACACATTAAATCAAAATTTACAGTTAAAGAATCCTAAAATATCACAGTTGCTACAAAAAAATAATGACGCAGCATAACTGTTTTCAACATTGATATTGTTTTTTTTTAGCATCAAATCATCATATTAGAATGATTTCTGAAGAATCATGTGACACTGAAGATTGGATTGGAATATTGTCTGCTGAAAATTCAGCTTTATCGTCACAGGAATAAATTAATTACATTTATAAAAAAAAAATTGTTTATTTACTTTTGAACGGTCATGTTTGTATTAATAAATTTGCTTCACTGCTTATTAATATTTGAAAAAGTCATTCAAACATGTAAGGAAAAATTCTAATAAATTCAAATGATATCTTTAAACTTAACTAGATGATCATCAAACTGTTGCTTCACTACAACAATAGTTAAACCATAAGAACATTTTCCAGTCCTTCTGCTGGAGGGCTCTAGTAAACAGGATTGGACATGTTTGGTTTACTCTAATAGCCGCTATATCGCCCCTGGTGGCATCGCTGAGAATACACACACTGGCTGTTGAATTATGAATTGCGCTCTGACAGCTTTCAGAACACGACACATGAAATCCAACTCATGTATCTGACGTTCACGTACTTGCGTTGAGTATATTTCAGGCCTTACCACTGCTAGACTGAGATACACAGGAATTAGAGTGCAGATAAATGAGCTGTTAACAATGCATTCATCTCAAACGCATATATTCACCCCATCTGGAGATTCACACGTATCCATTTGAAATTGTGCTTATCTGTCGAGGCTTTTGTGATGACAGTAAGGGATGGGTACGGTAGTCATCAATTCTCTCAAACGTCACCATCTTTCTATTTTACTGTGGCACCATGACAGCTGGCGTCAGTGTAAGCAGTATGATAGACTCGTTGGCTTCGCTCCAAAGCTGCGTTCACTGAGACAGACTTCACGTCTTGTGTTCACAGCGTCAGAGGCTGATGGGAGATTTCCCTGTGCAATTAACTTATACATATGCACATATGACAGATTGATATCTTCTGAAGGGGATATCAGAGAATCTTAAAGATTTCTTTCCAATATGTACCATAATGACTGTGTTGTATATGACAGCTACTTTAACTGTTCGGTGTTTGTTCGATCTTGCATGTTAATGCAGAGAGGTAGAGGTAGAACTAAGAGACATCAGCATATTTCGCAAGCACTATGAAGAATCAATGTGTTTTATCCATTTTTTTTTTTTCGGTTGATTCCAGCATAGGGCTGGCTTGATAACATTTAACATTAAGTTGTTATCTATAGAGAGTTTATTAATGCTTGTACTTGAACATTACATTTTTCTATCTCCAGAGACACTCCCAAACAAGCTAGGTCAGAATTTTGTGGCCTAAACAATTGCATCATGTGATCAAATCACAAACCTTTTTTAATCAAATGTTAATTTTCCATGCATAAACTCTACTGAGGAATTTAATGTTAAATATGATGTGAAAATGTTGATAACCTATCAATGGGATACAAACTGTTTCTTCTTGCTGGTCTGTTCATAAATGTGTGTGTGTGTGTGTGTGTGTACAGGTATATATGGTTTATGAGGACACAAATGTGTATAATGACATGGATACTACAACGTAAAAACTTCCTGTGTCCTAATAAACCAAATGGGTGTGTGTGTGTGTGGAGCAGATTTTCATTGGCAGGGTGTTCATTGTATTGTAAAGCTTCATATATCTGTCAGTTTATCACGTGAGTGTCAGAATGTGAGCGAGAGACGGGATGTATGTGTGAAATAGACATTTCACTAAGATTATTCAAAAGTGCCTGCGTATCCAATGGAAATTTATTAGAGTCTATATTTAAGGATGACAATGGATCTGAATGATTTTCCATACCATATTGGTATATCCAATTTTTCTGTTTTCATAACATGATTATTTATTTATTTTCTTTGTAAAAAGGGCGGTTGTGAAACCTGTTTTTCGCTTTAATGTTCAAGTACATTTCAAATTTTCATTTTCTGCTCTGATGATGATAGAAAATGACTTAAAAGTGAATGATGTCTACGTGCATTTGAATTCTTTACATATTGTACAGCTGAATATACATCATATACATTTCTCATTACCTCCTACGTGGATGTTTCCTGGGCAACTTTCACATAACATAGTGAGAAATGGTTACTGTTCAATAATGGTTTATAGTGCAATACTCACTGTAGCACACAAATAGCAATACGTCAGGATGAAGTATACAAAACATCTTACAACAAAATGAATTACAGAGCAAAAGTAAGTCAGAGCAAGATTTTGTTGGATTCACTTCATAGACTTCCTTTGATGCGAGGCAAAAGTATCATTATGCAAATAGTGAAATTTTCCTTCCCAATATTACCAGCTGTTTTCTTACTTGTATGGAGTGGCTTTTTTAAAATGTGAATGGTTTCTGCTGCATCTATTGCTGTGTTTGTTTGAGTTATGCCAGTCTGGCAAAGAAATCTGTGGCCCTCTGGCAGTTCATCAGAAACCAGCAGCACTGACTCACTCTAGCAGTGAAGTAAACAACCTGCTCTGCCTATTAGATGCACCTCTAATGCCCCCAGTTTGTCTTGCAATGGAAACAACAGTTGTATCCTTTCTGGAGCTTTTTGCTCACTGTATATGCTCTTCCTGAATTTGGAATTAAGCAAGTGGAGAAATAAATTTGGTCCAATACTGTGTTAGTACCTGTTCAGACTTGGTTTAAAAAAAAAAAAAGAAATTAAAAAAGAAAAAAGGTCTTTTTGATTTATTACATTGTTACAAATTAGTTATTACAATGTAATAAGGCAAAATTCCACAGACGCGTCAAGGAGTTTATATTTCTTTTCAGTTTGATTAATAATAGGTGGGAACATTACCGATATGACAGTTTAAAGAGATATAATTCACTTCTCATTTGAATATTACCTTACAATAATATAAATATCTGTTTATTTTTTGCATCAAAAGCTGGTTGTTTAATTGAAAATCAGTTTTAAATAACCTTGTATAAGGGGCAATGAACAAATACTCACCAAACCAGGGCAAATAAATATTTATTGTAATCACGTATTCTAGAATATATTCTAAAAGTAAACATCTTGTGGATTTACAAAATTGTATGATGAATAATGGTCTGAATATCTATACATACAGTTTGTTTGCATTCAGAAATAAAATGAATAGAGCCTAAATCATCAAGGATGTCCATAAAAGTGCCACAAAAATCATTTTTTATCTTAATACTGGGACACATAACATGCTTTTGCAAGGGATTAGATATATATGATGTTGCTCATATTGACTTCGGTAATATTTAATTTAAATTTATTTAGGACCTCACTGTATCATACTAATTTGAACATTTTGAAACTGTCTGAGAAACATATTGATGATATCAGTTAATAAGGGCCACAAACACAGCTATGTGATGCAGAAACATACTTTAATTTGATCATTTAGCGTTTGCATTTGCTGCCGAACCATTCAGACCTCTGCTTTAACAAAGCTTGAAGGTGTTTACTTTTTAAATAATCACAATGTATTAGCAATTACCCCGTGTCTTTCTGGGGTAGCATAAGGTCGCTTTGATTGTGTGCTTCTGAATGAGCTCTACAACGATGAAAAAGCCTATCAGGAAGAACAATCTCCAATTAAAGCAGGCTCAGCTGGAGGCTTTCTATTTGCTCTGCAAATTAAACAGCTCCTTCGTTACCGTAAAACACCACATCATGTCGTCAATTAAAGATCTTCCAATTCCCACGCCGATTAACAGGCAGCATGTACCATGGTACGTTTAAAAAACTGACATTGGCGCCTATAAACAAAATACATTAAAAAAAACTTGATTTGTATTAAACTTGAGCACTTCTCTGATTAAAACGTATGAATATTTTTGCTATAACATAAGTTTAATGATTCCATTTATTGCCTATAGACCATACAAAATATCACTGTATTTAAATGAACGTGTTATAAAGTCAGTTTCTAACTTCATCAGAGATTTCTTTTTTGCAAATGCCTTGTTACTAATGTAAACTGTAGATAATCAAAGAACAGTTATTTACAGTCTTGTTCTGTCCGTTTTGTCTTTCTCTGTACAGTATAAGGTTGTGCACCATGATTTGTCTTCTTGAGATTGTAATCACATCAAGGTGTTGCATTTGACCCTAAAACACATCCACAGCTTTGAATCTATGAAGATATGCAACATCTCTCATTGCTTCCATGTCATTTGAGTCTGCCTTTCTGCTACGTTCTACATTTTCAGTTAAATCACCAACTGGAGAATCTTATTGTTGGATTTTTCAATCAGAGTGTACAAATGGGTAACACTACAATGGATTTCTTACAGAAGAAAGGTATTTACACAACAAGGCAATACTTACGGTGGATTGTTAGAAGCCATTGAAGTAACCAAATGAAAGGCAATGTATTTGAGTATATTGGTGGCACAGAGTGTTCGAAAA